ACACAGTGATTTTTTCATTCCAAGCCCCAGAGGTTCGGCGACTACTTCGAATGTCTAATCCCCTGTTGAGCATCCATAAAAATGGATAAAGCTCGATTGCACTATAAAGCCCCAAAAATAGGTAGCAAGAATGTACAAAAATGTTCCAGAAATTACAACAAATGAGTCGCTACGACTCATCTTTTCTATAACCACAAAAATTTGTCGTTATTGCACAAAGAAACTAGCCGAGATCACACAGATCTCACCAAACAGAACTGCCCCCTCTCACATAACGACTACAAGTGATTCTTTCACATCCAGTAATGTTCCATCAAGGAATCCAACAAATCAGCCATTACAGCTTACAACAAGAGGCCGAAAATCACTAAGATTTCACAAAAAAATCAGCCAAAAACGAGTCACATAGATTCGACTCAACAAAGGCTAAAATATCACAACACCCATATGGATCTAGAGTATTTCATGTTGTTGATTGATATTATTTTTAGAAAAATGCTCCAAAAATCAAGCCCTAATTTCACTAAGACGAAAGAGAGTTTTTCGCACAAAATGGAGAGAGAAGGAAGAAGGGGCCAAAGTCTGAGAGAGTGAGACGTGAGAGAGAGAGAGTGTGAGTCTTCCAAAAAGGCAGCCCATAAGTCAGAGACTATTTATTTTAATCACAGCCACAAGATTTAATCCAACGGCTCACATCTCATTTCAAGTAGCACAATGCGGGTGTCAATGTAGCAGCCAATAATCAACAACCACGTAGAACATCACTTAAAGAAATTGCTGTTTCATGAAACAAGTTTCTTCCAGATAAATTTTGGAATACTTTCTCAATAATCTCCACATTGCTTCCAAGATTTAGGTCTATAGTGCAGACAGGAGCTTCATCAACATTTATAATTTCATTTGCTCTATTGTACCTATACAGTCAATGAAAAGAATCAATAAATAACATCTTTAAACAGTTTTAAACTTATTTAAAGGTATCACCTTAGTATTCTATCAGATGGATTATACAAGGTAGGTATCTTATGAATTTTTTAGCAAACCTTTTGAAATAATATCTCTTATAAACGGTATTTACATCAACATATTTTGTTCTATCATGGAACATGGGATTCTCACTCAAATGGATTGCACTTTGATTGTTAGAATATAGTATTGGATTAGTATCTACAAAATCAAGTTCATTTAACAAACCATGTAGCCATATGCCTTCTTTAAAGCATCAATGGCTGCAATCTATTTAGCTCCGGTGGAAGATAGAGCAACAATTTTTTGTAACTGAGATTTCCAACTTATCACAGTACGACACAAAGTGTAAAAATAAGATGAAGTTGATTTTCTATTGTCTCTATTTCTAGAAAAATCAGAATCTGTATAACCTTTTAAAATTATCATATCTTTGTCCATTTTAAACATCAAACCCAAGTTAGATGAACCCTTTACGTATCTCAATAACCATTTCAAGGCTTCCCAATGAGTCTCACCAGGATTTTCCATAAATCTACTCAAAACACTAATACTAAAAGCCAAATCAGACCTAGTACATATCATTAAATAGATGACTAAACCAATAGCATTAGCATAAGGGAGGAAATCCCCCCAAAGGTCACTGAACTTTGCCAAAATGCCCTAGGAGGTCACCGAACTTCAAAAAGTCCCTAAACAGTCACTGAACTTTATCGAAGTCCCCCTAAAAGTCACCGAACTTCGGAAAGTCCCTAAATGGTCATTGAATTTTGCAAGAGGTCCCTAGGAGGTCACTCAACTAATGATGTATGAGGCCCTAATTTTGAAAAGAGCTTGGGTACTGTCCAACATAATTTCGAACCTACATTATTTAAAGAGCTAAGGGGATTTATGTCAAGAATTGCAATGAATTTGATACTTCAAGAGTCCAAACGAGCTAATGACATAGGGATTGACAAAGCAGCTTGTGGATGTGTTATACAACAAACGCATGGATTACCATGTGCCTATGAGATTTCAGAGTATAAGATAGAATCCCAACCCATCCCTTTATCAAGAGTACACTCTCATTGGAAGAAACTTGATCTAGTTCCTCTTAATACAGGTAACACATCCGAGATTAACTATACATCATTATTTGAGATGACTGAAAAGTGTTATCAAGATAACAATGATCATGTGAAGGTAGAAACCCTACAAAAATTGAAAGAGATTGCTAGTCCGAATGCTACATCATTAGTTGAGCCATAAGTCAAAATTACGACAAAGGGTCGTCCGTCTTCGAAGATAGATATATCCACTCGTCGAGACCCATCTTATTTTGAGTTGGTGCTATCTGGACAAGGTAATATGTCACAACAATGATCATGTGGACAAGGTAATATGACCCATCGTATTTTGAGTTGGTGCTATCTGGACAAGGTAATATGTCACAACAATGATCAAATAATAATATGTCATCATTATTTGAGATGACTGAAAAGCGTTATCAAGATAACAATGATCATGTGAAGGCAGAAACTCTACAAAAATTGAAAGAGATTGCTAGTCCGAATGCTACATCATTAGTTGAGTCATAAGTCAAAATTAAGACAAACGGTCGTCCGTCTTCGAAGATAGATATATCCACTCATCGAGACCCATCTTATTTTGAGTTGGTGCTATCTGGACAAGGTAATATGTCACAACAATTGGATAGTTCCATCACACCTTTAAGTCAGCCTACACTATCAAGCCATCATCCAATTCTGCAAAAACAAAAAGTATATCGAGCACGTAAATCTAAGTCCATGGCTTATTTGGATTCATTTCCAATTTGTTTGAGACCTTACATGTAGCCTCAGATAGTAATTGCAGTTTTCGAGCTGTGGCTAATATTGTAGGTATAGGTAAAGAGAATTGGCCTTTGGTTATAAAAGACCTAATAAAAGAGCTTGAATCTCATTTGGAGGATTACTCTAGACTATATGGAAATGTTGATATGGTCCATGAGTTGATTCATTCACTTTCTCATTTTGATGGTTCTGCAAGTCGTGAGTATTGGATGACCATGCCAACTATGGGTCATGTTATTGCTTCAACATATAAGGTTATTCTTGTTCACTTAAGCCAACAACAATGTCTTACATTTCTTCCACTTTGGGATGAATCACTTGCAATCACATCTCATAAGATTGTTGCAATTGGATTTGTCAATGGTTGTCATTTTGTCTCGATAAATATCTAATTAACTCAATTAAATTTTAATTAACTAAACAATATTTTTACTTATATTTTTTCCATGTAACTGTGTGCAGGTGAGTTGGCATACTAGTGGACCAATGTCGCTTATTGCTTGTAATTGGTCCAAGTTCCATCATCCATGTGCAAAGGGCTAGGCTACACCATATCATGCTAAGACGCAACTTTTTAGGTCCCTCGTAGAAAAAGATGTAGCTAAATCAGAGATAATTGACTTGGATAAACCATAAGTTGTGAAAGATGTGATAATAACACTATTCTTCTTCTTTTTATTGTCCTAATTTATTTTGGGCTTACAGTTTCAATGCAAATTATTGTCGTGATGATGGCCAGCACTTATGACGTTGGAACCATTACCTAGCAAATCCACTTTAGAGATCTAACTTGGTTAGCCTCAATTAAAGTATATGAATTTTATCCTTTTATTTTAAAATTATGCATAACCTCAAAAACATGATTTTGATTGAATACAAAATTGAATATTTCTCAATCAAATAAAAAAGATCAATTCATGTGGCAAATAACATACCTACGGAACATTTGATTTTATTTTGAATATAATATTTTTATCTATCGGATTAATTATTGAATTGTAAGGGGATTTTTTTATTTATTATTTTTTTCGGTGAACTCGAAGAATCTGATGTCTTGAAATGTAGATAAAACATGGATGATAGATATACCAGACATTGAAGGAACAATAAAATAAACTAGAAAGCAGTCTATAGACCAAAAGGTTGACAAACAATATTTCAATAACCATCAAAAGCAAGTCTAATATCCTAGTAATCAAACTGAAAATATCCATCAAGTGCATGAGGCAGACTTTCTTTTCTCTCAATATTAAAGTAAAAAAATTGCAGAGAATAGGAAATTCTTCCCTCCAGCAAATGACCAACATGTTTACATAAACAAGTTAGGTCCAGTAGCCTTGTATGTAGTTTTGAGCTTCCTGGTTGGTGGCCTCACTTTCTTGAACAATAGGGGGAACTTGATCTTTGAAATATGGAACTGCTTGGTGCTCTCTCTCTTGCAAAGCTTAGCTGGGATTGTGGCCGTCTTAATGGTTTGGATGCAATGGTTGCGAACTTTATGACGAGAAGCCATCTCGGTATACATTTGGTCAACTGCACTGTTCAAGGTGGTATCATGGTACTCTTTGTACATTTTGTGATAACTAGTTGGGAAATTCCACACTGCCAGGGGGGTTGGTGACTAAATAGTGACCGACCCCTCACTGTAGCGTGGGCCCCGGACAAAAAAAAATTCCTAAAAATTGTGGGGCCTGACCCCCATGTGAGAGGTCGGGCACCGACCTGTCACCAACGCCCTGGCAGTGTAACAGGGCTTTAACTAGTTCTACCCTAGTAACGGAGCCATATGCCATAGTTCTTGATGGTCGTTGGGTTTTTCTCGAAAATCTCATTGATAGTGAGCATCTGTCCATTGCTCTTCTTCACCCTCTTAAGCTTTCTCAGAAAATACCAAAACTTGGACTTGGCCCGAACCTCATTCGTAGCCCATAGCTTCATTCGGTAGATCTTCTGGTACTCATCTGTTTCAGTAGGTAGATCTTTCCCCACCACCTGGTACTGATGGAAATTGTAAGTCGCCATTTTCAATGGGTTCTTAATCTCTCAGAAATCTCTCACTTCGTCGTGGAGGGGGTTCTGGGTTTGAGCGGCTTAGTGAATTGTAAGGAGATTGATGTTATATGTAATGGGGATGAATATAGCGATTTTTTTTTAAAATTTCGAAATTGTTTTAGAGATGCATTTAGAGTGGGACGAATATATAAAAAATGTGTGGATATATTATGTTCATTGTTCTAAACCTCACAAACCGACCAACCAAGTGAAAGTTGAAACCATGTTATTCTGTTTGCTATCAAGCGCCGTGAACACTTTTTTTTTCCTCTAGTGAACTCTTTTGTTGGAGGCCACGATCTGATTCATATGAAAGACGCCCATAGATACAGGCTTGTAAGTTCCTCTCCTTTCATCTGTATGTGTTTCATCTTCTGTTTTATAATTTTCCTCTCCTTTCCTCTCTTTTCATCTTTCATTTCATCTTTTACACTGATTTTATGATTGATTTTTATCCAGATCGAGTGTTACTCTTTAATGGGTTCTGAATTTATCGTCAGATTTTATTTTAATTTTTTAAAAAAAATTATTCTCGAGTCCCCTCTTTTCATTAGTTTTGGTTTATTATTTTATGAATAATCTGGTAGTCTGTAGATACAGAATTCGGAATTATTTTTGGCTGCTATAAGAAAAATTAAAAAGCCATAAACATCTAAAATTTCTTTGCTGAAATGGCAAAAGTATTATTTATATTTAAGCCAATTAATGAATTGGGAAGTCTCAAAAAAATTTAGTGCTGCAAGTGAAAAGAGTCCAAAACCACGTCTGTCGGGTCGGGTTAGGGCCAAATTCGACCCGACCCATTCCCCACCCATATTAAGAGAAAAGCATCTCTTATTGAGCAATAAGACGTAGTTTCCTTTTCCTCCTAGGGTGGTGGTTTTTTCTCAGAACTTTATTTGGGGTTCAAATCTGCCTAGGTACAAGGCTTTACTCGTTTGAAACTCGTTCATATTAAGTGACTCACACAAGAAAATAGATGCTCGGCTCGCCTCACTTAATATCACTAGTTCAATATGTGCCCCGTTCTTGAGTATATGGATTAGATTGAATGGAATACTATAATGGCAATATTTTAATTTTTTTCATTATTCAAAATTGACAGAGTTTGCTTTATGAGTTGTATATTTTGTTTAGCTCCCATTTGGCCCCCATTATTTGCTCATTTTCCATTCCCATTTTCATAATATGTGGTCCCCACTTCTGAAAAGGTTTGGTGATTCTGACCAAGGCAGCTACATTTTTTTTTTACTTTTCTATGGAGCATTCCACATCATTTTACAAAATTGACCTTGACATATTATAGGTAATGGGGGTCAATAGCTTGGCTAGGTGAGGGTAAATGCGTCCTACCAACTTTTACTGTCCAATAGAGGCAAAAATTTTGCCCCTTGTACAGTCCGAGCTTACAGCTCGGATGACAGCCCCATCACATGTTGGGGGGTGCACTTTGGTTTTTTTTTAAAAATGAGCGCGGCCCCCCAAATGTGAGGGGACTGTACATGTACCCTGGTTCCCATTCCAACAAACTTAACAATGTTTAGCCAATAATGTGAGCAAATTCGAATCAACCCTCACGTGAATTGTGCAGTGTCTAAGCTAATCCTGCCAAACAAGGGCCCCTAAACCCCTTAACCCCCGTTTGGCCCCCCATTCTAATGAGTTTTTTGTACAAAATTTCATTAATCTACAGTAAATAACTAATAAACAATGCAAAAGTTGCACCTGCTTTGTCAGACTCTTATATGCCTGTAGAACCGAGCATCAAAAAATGATTAATTTACCCCCTCCTTAAATAAACAAATAGAAAAGAAATAAGTAATATAAAATTTTATAATTGCAGCTAAAGTTCCATTTTTTTTAAAAAGTACAAATGAGTGTCACCTAAAATAATTTAAAACATACTAGCAGAAGAAAAATATTTCATCTTTGCAATTAACGACACCTACGCCTACCCCTAACGTCCATCCCTTACTCTCTACCACCACCAAAATAATTGAAAAGAGAATTAAAAGTATAAAAAACAATTTTTTTTTTAAAATAGTTTCTTCTTCCCCTTCCGATTTCATACCCTACCAATCGGCCACCACCATCACTCATTCTCCCCATCCTACAATGACACCATCTAGGGATTAATCAAGTTTTGCGTTACAATATATTTTTTTTTTTTTTTGTTTTTAGTGAAGTTACAACAGCTGCTTAGAAATTTAACCATTTTCAATAAATTCTTGTTTCTATCTTGTTGCTAATTACATAATAGATACACATATATACCCACTATATCTGCTTTTGAATTTTCTTCTGATTTTGTTCAAAAAAATTTTGCTTCACAATTATATATATCTATCTTACTCCGATTCTATTCCTATTACAATTTTAAAATTTAAGAAAAAAGTATTATGTTCATCCCCAATATATTCTAACATTACGTTTATTAAATTCTTTCATTTAAAATCTACATATCCACACAGTTTAATAAAAAAATAGATTACTTAATTTGAAAAAGAAAAACAAAAAACATATAAGGAGGTTGTGGGGGCAGTCACGGGGTAATTCTTTCATTTCTTTGTGTGGAGCATCCACACTGCACGATAATGGAAGACCGAAGAAGATTAGAAGATGTCACTCGAGCTTCAAGTCAAAAGTTGGTGGTGAAAAAATGAGTTTTGGTAACATTCGAAGACGTTGATCATAAATTTTACTGTAGTTTAAGTTTTTAATTCTAAATGTCCCCCCTTTCATAACTTTTGAAGTTCTGTTTATTTATTTTGCCTAGAATTTGTTCATGCTTCCATGTGTTAGATACATGATAAACTCCCTTTGGGGCACTTCTCCACTGGCAAAGGATGGGCTCTGTCAAACCTGGCAGATCAGAGGTCGTGAGTTCGATTCATGGGGCTCTTGGAAGGCAATGATTTATTCTTGGAAGGCAAGAGAAATCTTGGAAGGCAAGGATTATTCTTGGAAGGCAAGGTGCAATTTGGATTGACTTGCTTGGCACTTTGGCAGATCAGGTGGGGAGGGCTCGGACCCTGGCTAGTTGGAGGCACATCCCGCGATTAACTGGACTGTGTGAAGAGGGGCCGGATTACAGACTCAAGGATTAGTCAATAATTTGACACCTTGTAAAAAAAAAAAAAAAAAAAAAAAATATTGGGAGAAAA